GGTTGGGGCCCCGGCCATGGCTGGGGAACGGCCCCCACTGCGGGGCCCTGGGCCGGGGCCGGGAGAGGCGCCGGGGGAGGGGCTCCCGGGACCAGGGGGCGCGGGTGGAGGCCCGGGCAGGGGCCGGCCCTCCTCCTACCGGGCTCTCCGCAGCGCTGTGTCCAGCCTGGCGCGTGTGGACGATTTCCACTGCGCGGAGAAGATCGGAGCCGGCTTCTTCTCGGAGGTCTACAAGGTAGGACCAGCAGAGACGATAGAGGGGCGGGGCCGACCTTTCAATGGGAGGCTGGAATTAGGGGTCCCAGAGCTAGGGGAAGAAGGCCCAGAATCGGGCAACCTGCCCGACTTGCCGGCCCCTGCCACCCTCAGGTTCGGCATCGACAGTCAGGGCAAGTCATGGTGCTGAAGATGAACAAGCTCCCAAGTAACCGGGGCAACACACTACGGGAGGTGCAGCTGATGAACAGGCTCCGGCACCCTAACATCCTAAGGTCAGTCGCTTGCTGGCCATCTTCCTGGGCGGGAGGGAAAGGGAGAGATCCCGCGGGAAAAGTGGGATCTAAAGAGGGCCCGGGATTCTTACAGCCTGTTCTCCTGTCTTCCCCATCCTCTTCCAGGTTCATGGGGGTCTGTGTACACCAGGGGCAGCTGCACGCTCTTACAGAGGTGAGGACAGGTCAGGAAAGGGGAGCAGGGAAAGGGAGTCACTGGGCCTGGTGGTTCTACAGAGGAATAGGGAGAGGCATCAAGACCTTTCTCCCAGGGGAGAGACTTCCCTGAACTTCCATTTAGGCAAACCACCTACAGGAGGCCCTAGCTGGTCTCATTCCCTGACCTCCAAAACAGCATTAATAGAACTTTCTACAGTGATGGAAATGTTTTATATTTGTGCTGTCCAATACAGTAGCCACCAGCCACATGTGGCTAGACTGGAGCATGGAATGTGACTGATGTGAGGAACTGAATGTTCAATTATGTTTAAATTTAATAATTTAAGGAGTTGTACTAGCGGCTATCATATAGGACTTGGTAGCCCTACAGACTCACCCTTCTCACCTTTGTGATCCTCCTGAGCATTCCTTGGCTTACTAGTGCAAGACCTAGAATACGGACTGAAGCTTTGACATTCATTCCTTCTTCTCACTCTGTGCCCCAGTATATGAATGGGGGGACTCTGGAACAGCTGCTCAGCTCCCCTGAACCCCTATCCTGGCCAGTCAGGCTCCGTCTGGCTCTGGACATTGCCCGTGGCCTGCGGTACCTGCACGCCAAAGGTGTATTCCACCGAGACCTTACATCCAAGGTAGGCCAGGGGGGAGGAGTCATGAAAGGGGGTTTGAGAATAGTAGTTGTAATGGCCCATAGTGGTTGGAATGTGGATAATAGATACATTAAGATGTTGGATTGGCAAGGCATTGGAAAATGTTGGACTGGGGTGAGGGGAGTACTCTGAAGGACTGAGTATCACAGTGTTTGCAGTTTGGGGTGATGGTACAGTATTGGGGTACTTCAGAGAAATGAGAGATCAGAGAAATTGGGGTTATGCTGGACTGACAGGAGTTTGGGATATATATTGGGAGACCAGAGAGAAGGTAACAGGTGTTTGGGATGCTATATGTGTGTGTGTCAGAACTGTCTGATCCGACGGGAAGACCGAGGCTTCACAGCTGTCGTGGGTGACTTTGGACTGGCTGAAAAGATTCCTGTGTATAGGTGAGGTGAATGCCCCTGTTGTTGCCACACCTCCCAGAAAACCCCTAAATGAAGCTTCCAGGACATTTCCCTTGGGGAGGGGAGGGGTTTCACTTCACCCTTTTGTCCAGGGAGGATGCCTGAGTGGCATGTTTCTGACCACCTTATTCCTGCTACTGCAGGGAAGGGGCAAGGAAGGAGCCATTGGCTGTGGTGGGTTCTCCATACTGGATGGCCCCAGAGGTGTTGCGGGGTGAGCTATATGACGAGAAGGTGAGTCATGACTTTTCAGATCCCCAGAGTCTTCTAGACACCCTTGAGGTACTTCCATAAGGCCTCATTCCAACAATAAACCTAATATTCAGGATGCCATTCCCTCCCACCCCCCACCACCCCCCGTGTCCCTCTTGCCCCTCACAGGTAGCTTTCAAACACAGGAAAACTACCCAGATTCCCTCTTCCCCCAAATCTGACAAAATTCTCAAATGAAAACTGTCAATTCATCCCCTGGGCATTGTTATGTCTTTATCTTCTCCCCCAGGCCGATGTCTTTGCCTTTGGGATTGTCCTCTGCGAGCTCATCGCCCGAGTACCTGCAGACCCTGACTACCTACCCCGCACAGAGGTGAATGTCTCTAGGTTTGATAAGGAGGGATAACTCCACACTGGGGAACCAAGAGGTTCTCTGGAGGTTGAGGCCCTGATTGGGGACAGGAGAACTTGAGGAAGAATGATTTGGAGGCCCCTTCTCTCTGTCCCCACAGGACTTTGGCCTGGATGTACCTGCTTTCCGAACCCTGGTTGGGGATGACTGCCCCCTGCCTTTCCTGCTCCTGGCTATCCACTGCTGCAGCGTAAGAGCCTCACACTCCCTGCCCACCCCCTCCATGAGCTGGCATGGCTGCCCAGGTGCCAACTGAGGGGAGGAACTCAAGAGCCTTGTTTCAGAACACTGAGTGAAGCTGTCCCTGTCTCTACCCATTAGATGGAACCTAGCACCCGTGCCCCCTTCACTGAAATCACCCAGCACCTGGAATGGATCCTGGAACAGCTGCCTGAGCCAGTCTCCCTCACCAGGACTTCCCTAATACACAGTCAAGGTAAGAGAGCATGACCTGATTCTACTGAAGTCCTTTAGCCTCTCTCTTCCTCAGAACTCAGATAATTATCCAAGTGAGACTGTGTGTTTATTAGTTGAGAAGGGTAGGGTGGGTGGAAGGACCTCTCAGAGAAGATAGTTGTCTAATTGTAGAGGTGGAAGGAAAGAGGAGGTAAAAGGGGGCTGGAGTTGACATTCCCCCTCTCCATAGCACCCTATGAGACTCCCTCTCCTAACCTCTAGTTCCACCAGCCTCCTGAGAGGAGTGAGCCCTCAGGGAGCTAGGATCACATGCTGAAAACAGTGATCACAGACTTCTCTGTCTACAGGGTCTGTTCCAAGAGGGGGTCCCTCGGCCACGCTTCCCCGGCCGGACCCTCGGCTCTCCCGAAGCCGGTCAGACCTTTTCCTGCCGCCATCACCAGAATCGCCCCCTAACTGGGGGGACAATCTGACTCGAGTCAACCCCTTCTCTCTACGGGAAGACCTCAGGGGTGGCAAGATCAAGCTCCTGGACACACCCAACAAGCCAGTCGCCCCCCTGCCCCTTGTACCACCATCACCGCTGCCCTCCACCCAGCTGCCCCTGGTGACCACTCCAGAGACTCTGGTCCAGCCCGGGACACCTGCCCGCCGTTGCCGTTCGCTCCCCTCATCCCCTGAGCTCCCCCGACGTATGGAGACAGCGCTTCCAGGCCCTGGCCCTCCCCCCGTGGGCCCTTCGGCTGAAGAGAGGATGGAGTGTGAAGGCAGCAGCCCTGAGCCAGAACCCCCAGGACCAGCTCCCCAGCGGCCCCTGGACATGGCCACAGACAACTTCATCAGCACCTGTTCCTCAGCCTCCCAACCCTGGTCTCCTAGGCCAGGACCTCCCCTCAACAACAACCCCCCAGCTGTGGTGGTGAACTCCCCACAGAGCTGGACTGGGGAACCCTGGACCCGGGCCCAGCACAGTCTGCCCCGGGCAGCAGCCCTAGAGCGGACAGAACCTTCACCGCCTCCTTCGGTCCCCAGGGAGCCTGATGAGGGGCTACCTTGCCCCGGCTGCTGCCTCAGCCCCTTCAGCTTTGGCTTTCTGTCCATGTGCCCCCGCCCAACACCAGCTGTTGCCCGCTACCGCAACCTGAACTGTGAGGCGGGCAGTCTCCTCTGCCATCGAGGGCACCACGCTAAGCCACCCACACCCAGCCTGCAGCTGCCTGGGGCACGCTCTTAGCAATGGGACCTGTGGCCTCAGGCCTCCAACTTTGGCCTCCAGGACATCCTGTGAGGACAGTGTACACTTGCTGGACAGTGCCAGCCCCAGAGGGCTGACTGGCTCTTCTCCCCATATAGGGGAACCTCAGCATGGACTCGAGGGACAGAGCACTTCCCATCCCACCCCTGGGCTGCTGCTTCTGTGGGGATCACTGAACTAGACACAGTGTTGCTGACACACGAGACTAACACGTGCAAATTATTTAAAAATATTTCAATAAAACTGCCTGGCTGGCTCCGGGCTGCCCCTATCCAATCAGGCCATGCGCCCTCTTCCCACCCATTCCCCAGTTCTACAGGAGGTTCTTGGGGAAGGCCCTTCTAGAGGCTTCTTCACTCTATTCCATGGAACTGTCCAATTTCTGGGACCATGTTTCAAGCAGGCAGCAAGCTGGCTAGAAGTGTTAGGCATGGATCAGTCCCTGATTGGGCACTGCCCAGAGTGAGGGAGTACCACAGAGAGATGACCTAGGACCTGCAGGTCACAGGTTAGGGATGAGGGGCACAGGCACTCGTTGGCATGAGTATCTGGAAGAGAAACATCAGTGAGCTCAACAGTTAGACAGTCACTAAACCATCAGCCAGCTCTCCCCAGCTCCCTGGACAGCCACAGCACCAGCCACCAATCCTAGGCCTCCCCTGCCCAATTTGCCCTTATATAAGCATACCAAGCACTGCAGGCTGTGGACCTGTCCCCCCCCCCCCAACAAGTCTTCCCTTTGATATCTGAGCCCCCTGCTCAGAGTTCCTCTGCCCCTGGACTTCCTGAGAGGATAGAGTGTGAGGGCTGCAGCCCTGAGCCAGAACCCCCAGGACCAGCTCCCCAGTGGTCCCTGGATGTGGCCACAGACAGCTTCACCAGCACTTGTCCTTTGGGCTCAGTACCCAGGTCTCCCCTCAACAACAACCCCTCAGCTGTGGTGGTGAACTCCCCACAAGGCTAGGCTGGGGAGCCCTGGAACCCAACACAGCCTACCTGGGGCAGCAGCCCTAGAGCAGACAGAATCCCCAGTCCTCAGCCCCATTCCTCATGCTCACCCAGCTCAGTGCACAGGATGGTCTGGGTCTGGGAATCTGAAAGCTGTCATCTCACAGATGCAGGGAAGAGGGGTTCTACATGCTTCTTGCCATGTTGTCCAACATTTTTGAAACTTGAGATATTTCAAACTTTGACTATAAAACCAAGAGCAGTGTAGAACTGTAATATGCTCTGGACCCTTCCTAGCCCATCCTCCTTGCTCTCCCCTTGCCCTGCATAAAGCTCAACCCAAGTCCTAACTTGTCCTGCCTGCCTAAGGCCACATTGGGTATCATTGAGGGACAGATGTATGGACTCTAACCAGAAGAGGCTTTCGGTACTAGGGGAGGGGAAAATCACCTGGAAACTTAAAGATGAAAACTCCAGCTATGGAATACAAGGAGGTGGCCACCCTGTTTTACAGTCCCTAGGATTGATCCTCAAAGTTACCTCATGCTCCTCTGCTCACTTCCTTGGGCCAGATGGCCCTGGTTGGAAAAATACAATCTCAGTTTGGGTATCCTTGACAAGAAGTTAGGATGCCAGTGTTCATCGGCTGTGAAGTCCTAGCTAAGTCCCCAAATTCTACTTCTGGAAGATGATATAGGTCCCTAAAAAGCATGTGCCAGACAGGGACTTTTAGTTACCGGGGACACAATAGAGAATAAGACTGTCCTACAGAGTTATTAATTGAATAGAGGAAACAAATAGGCAATTGCAATATTGATTTATGGAAGCATTATGTGTCTGTGAGGGCTTTATGGAGTTGAAGATACCCAAAAAGTTCTAACAAACTTACCAAAAGTTCCATATACGATCATACTGCTGCTCGTTCTTATAATAGTAGAAAGCAATCCAATATGCATCCTCTGACCCATCATGTGACAACACCTGATCTAAGTTGGTGGAGTAAGTCTGAGGGGACAAAGAGACCAGAGGTCTGTGGAGAGTAATGAGAAATATGGAAGAAAACAAACATCCTAAGGAGGCCTATGAGCCTTGGCAAGAGGGCTGTGCCCATCTTTGGTACAAGACAGTTTGTTGGTGACTTGTCTGCATCCTCCAAGTGCCACCCTGCAGATGCAGGCTCACCATTCAGTTCACCTCCCAACTGAGAATTTCTGCCAGCCTTTGGAGGCAGAGTTCTGCTCCCAATGAACTAATCTGTACAATCTGGCCTAGTCCTAGATACAGGACCTCTCTGTCGAGAAGCCACGGGAGTCAAAGAACCTGTTTCACAGCCCAAAGAGCTGACCAGCAAGCTGAGAGGAGACAGATCAAAGCAAAGAAACTTCGAAAGTCTCAGCTCCTGTGCCAACTCTAATCAGTTAACCTCTTGAAGCACTGAGCTGAGAAGATGCCGAGACTGTTTCTGAGCTCAGTTGTGGTCAAGTATCGTGATCAATTATCAATATTTGTCATGGAAAAAGGAATGCAGGCTATGTGTGCACTACCATTCCTGACTTGATGACATACATCTCTTTACCTAATCGCACCCACTAGTCTGAGAAAGAGAGTATGCTTACTGAATGAGAAGAGTGAGTTTTCTTGAATGTGGCCAGGTCGGAGGATAGAGATTTACAATAGTTTCGGCTCTCCTCCCAACTTCTTCGAGTAAGTGAGATGTGAAAGCAGCTTTTCTCATTTGGTATCCATCCCACCGGACAGCAGGTGTCTGAAAAGCAGAAAGAATGTGACAGCAGCAACGCTTGGGATGGAAGCGACTACTCAGCAATCTGGTTACTAACAAGATTCCCCTGCATCTAACCTAAGCTCCTTCACGGAGTTCTAGTCCTTAATGTTTGCAATCTGTTTTTGTTGTTGTTCACCTCTGCAAATGCCATACCTGTGTACACTTAGTAAAAGGCTTTAAAACTTAACATTACTTTTTAACAATCGGGGGAGCGTATTTTAACAGGGTTAGTATTACTATCTTCAATATCGGAACAATTACAGTCTGCCCTGACATTTTCAATTTTCTCACCAGGTCCCTGATAACCGTTTGATAGGCCTTTAATTCTTCTCCTTCACTCCCTAAACTATTCCCCACTTAGGGAACCAGCAGATAGCATAATGGTTACATCACTGGACTCCCACATGACCAACCACAGTTCAAGTCCCAAACCTAGTGGCTTTCAAACTCATGCCAAGTTTGTGTGTGTGTGTGTGTGCTCAAAATCCTGCAAGGAGAATGGAGAAGGGATTATGGGCATGGCCATTCCACCAGGGGATGATTTCTTGCTTTCTGTCTATCTCTCTCTGTCTCTTTAGCAAGCATATGTGCCCTATAGCAAAAATCTTCCTTAAAGAAAACCCCCACTGTACACCCAAGACTTCCCACACTCCTCCAGCCACCAGCCACCTCTCCTTATCCTGCTACTCTTCCACAAGCAGATCACCTTGCTTCTTATTTTGCCCAAACCATGAATACTGTTCATTTCCTTCGTCTCCACCTCATGATTCTGTCTTTTCTCTGTTCTTCCTTTCCTGAATATCCATAAAAAGTAAACATCTCTTTCTTTCACTTCCCTCACTCCAATCTGTGCTAACCCCAGCTCACCTCCTTTCATTGCTTTATTCCATCATTCCTGTTCTTCCAACTCTATCTCTTCTATTTCCTCATGTTCCCACCCAGCTTCCCATCACAATCTACTATCCCATGGCAACTTAAAGGAATTTTTAAAAACTCAGAGGAGCCAGCAAGTGGTGTGATGGTTAAGGTGCTAGACTCCTGGGTACCAGCAGTTAGCATAATGGTTATGTCGCTGGACTCCCACATAGTCGACTGCGGTTCGCATCCGGGACCCGGTGGCTTAGAACTCACGCCGGGTGCGTGTGCGTGCGTGCCCAAGATCCCGAGAGGAGAATGGAGGAGAAGGGATTGCGGCGTGACCATCCCCCTTGGGCATTATTTCTCGCTTTCTGTCTCTATGTCTCTGTCTGTCTGGCAAGCGTACACACCCTATAGCGAAAACCTCTCAAAAAAAAGGTGCTAGACTCCTACATACATGACCACAGTTTGTGTCCTGGACCTGGTGGCTTGCTTTCTCCACCCTGTTTTACAGTCCCTAGGATTGATCCTCAAAGTTACCTCATGCTCCTCTGCTCACTTCCTTGGGCCAGATGGCCCTGGTTGGAAAAATACAATCTCAGTTTGGGTATCCTTGACAAGAAGTTAGGATGCCAGTGTTCATCGGCTGTGAAGTCCTAGCTAAGTCCCCAAATTCTACTTCTGGAAGATGATATAGGTCCCTAAAAAGCATGTGCCAGACAGGGACTTTTAGTTACCGGGGACACAATAGAGAATAAGACTGTCCTACAGAGTTATTAATTGAATAGAGGAAACAAATAGGCAATTGCAATATTGATTTATGGAAGCATTATGTGTCTGTGAGGGCTTTATGGAGTTGAAGATACCCAAAAAGTTCTAACAAACTTACCAAAAGTTCCATATACGATCATACTGCTGCTCGTTCTTATAATAGTAGAAAGCAATCCAATATGCATCCTCTGACCCATCATGTGACAACACCTGATCTAAGTTGGTGGAGTAAGTCTGAGGGGACAAAGAGACCAGAGGTCTGTGGAGAGTAATGAGAAATATGGAAGAAAACAAACATCCTAAGGAGGCCTATGAGCCTTGGCAAGAGGGCTGTGCCCATCTTTGGTACAAGACAGTTTGTTGGTGACTTGTCTGCATCCTCCAAGTGCCACCCTGCAGATGCAGGCTCACCATTCAGTTCACCTCCCAACTGAGAATTTCTGCCAGCCTTTGGAGGCAGAGTTCTGCTCCCAATGAACTAATCTGTACAATCTGGCCTAGTCCTAGATACAGGACCTCTCTGTCGAGAAGCCACGGGAGTCAAAGAACCTGTTTCACAGCCCAAAGAGCTGACCAGCAAGCTGAGAGGAGACAGATCAAAGCAAAGAAACTTCGAAAGTCTCAGCTCCTGTGCCAACTCTAATCAGTTAACCTCTTGAAGCACTGAGCTGAGAAGATGCCGAGACTGTTTCTGAGCTCAGTTGTGGTCAAGTATCGTGATCAATTATCAATATTTGTCATGGAAAAAGGAATGCAGGCTATGTGTGCACTACCATTCCTGACTTGATGACATACATCTCTTTACCTAATCGCACCCACTAGTCTGAGAAAGAGAGTATGCTTACTGAATGAGAAGAGTGAGTTTTCTTGAATGTGGCCAGGTCGGAGGATAGAGATTTACAATAGTTTCGGCTCTCCTCCCAACTTCTTCGAGTAAGTGAGATGTGAAAGCAGCTTTTCTCATTTGGTATCCATCCCACCGGACAGCAGGTGTCTGAAAAGCAGAAAGAATGTGACAGCAGCAACGCTTGGGATGGAAGCGACTACTCAGCAATCTGGTTACTAACAAGATTCCCCTGCATCTAACCTAAGCTCCTTCACGGAGTTCTAGTCCTTAATGTTTGCAATCTGTTTTTGTTGTTGTTCACCTCTGCAAATGCCATACCTGTGTACACTTAGTAAAAGGCTTTAAAACTTAACATTACTTTTTAACAATCGGGGGAGCGTATTTTAACAGGGTTAGTATTACTATCTTCAATATCGGAACAATTACAGTCTGCCCTGACATTTTCAATTTTCTCACCAGGTCCCTGATAACCGTTTGATAGGCCTTTAATTCTTCTCCTTCACTCCCTAAACTATTCCCCACTTAGGGAACCAGCAGATAGCATAATGGTTACATCACTGGACTCCCACATGACCAACCACAGTTCAAGTCCCAAACCTAGTGGCTTTCAAACTCATGCCAAGTTTGTGTGTGTGTGTGTGTGCTCAAAATCCTGCAAGGAGAATGGAGAAGGGATTATGGGCATGGCCATTCCACCAGGGGATGATTTCTTGCTTTCTGTCTATCTCTCTCTGTCTCTTTAGCAAGCATATGTGCCCTATAGCAAAAATCTTCCTTAAAGAAAACCCCCACTGTACACCCAAGACTTCCCACACTCCTCCAGCCACCAGCCACCTCTCCTTATCCTGCTACTCTTCCACAAGCAGATCACCTTGCTTCTTATTTTGCCCAAACCATGAATACTGTTCATTTCCTTCGTCTCCACCTCATGATTCTGTCTTTTCTCTGTTCTTCCTTTCCTGAATATCCATAAAAAGTAAACATCTCTTTCTTTCACTTCCCTCACTCCAATCTGTGCTAACCCCAGCTCACCTCCTTTCATTGCTTTATTCCATCATTCCTGTTCTTCCAACTCTATCTCTTCTATTTCCTCATGTTCCCACCCAGCTTCCCATCACAATCTACTATCCCATGGCAACTTAAAGGAATTTTTAAAAACTCAGAGGAGCCAGCAAGTGGTGTGATGGTTAAGGTGCTAGACTCCTGGGTACCAGCAGTTAGCATAATGGTTATGTCGCTGGACTCCCACATAGTCGACTGCGGTTCGCATCCGGGACCCGGTGGCTTAGAACTCACGCCGGGTGCGTGTGCGTGCGTGCCCAAGATCCCGAGAGGAGAATGGAGGAGAAGGGATTGCGGCGTGACCATCCCCCTTGGGCATTATTTCTCGCTTTCTGTCTCTATGTCTCTGTCTGTCTGGCAAGCGTACACACCCTATAGCGAAAACCTCTCAAAAAAAAGGTGCTAGACTCCTACATACATGACCACAGTTTGTGTCCTGGACCTGGTGGCTTGCTTTCTCAGTTTCTCTCTCTCTCTCTTTCTCCTCTGTGTGTGTGTGTGTGTGTGTGTCTCTGATAAGCGTGCATGTCCTATAGCAAAAATATAAAAATAATAATAATAAATGGAATAGTTTCTTTAAGTCAATGTGGCCAAACTGAAGACTGTGAGGGGTCTACTGAAAGGTTGGAAGGAGCTTTGGAAGCCATGTTAAGAACTTTTTAAAAGTTTTTCTTTCTTTCTTTATTATTATTTTATTTATTTATTTATTTATTTTGCTATAAAGCATGTGCACTTGCCAGAGACAGAGAAATAGAGAGAGAAGAAAATGAGAAATCACCCCCGAAAGGGGATAGTCATACCACAATCTTTCTTCTCCATTCTCATCTTGGGATTTTGGGCACACATCTCACTCACACATGCCTAGTCTGGGACTCAGATGTTAACCATGTGGGATTCAGATGCCTTAATCTTTGTGCCACCTGCTAGCCCAAGGACTTCATTTATTTTTAAAATATTTATTTATTTATTCATTTTAATTTGATGTGAGAGGGAGAGAGAGGGAAAGTGAGAAAGCAAGTCACCAAATCCAGGACTCAAACTGCAGTCGGTCATTTGGGAGTCCAGTGCCCTTAACCACCATGTCACCTGCCGGCCCCAGAACTTCATAGTTCTGTATTGTGAGGAAGAGAAAGCCAATGTCAGCTTTTACTACATTGTTCACTAACTATCTCTGGGCACAGTGTTGGAACATATAATATGTGTTCTTTTACTATAATATATATAATTATAATATGTATTTTACAATTTTATGTTGTTAATTAACAAGAATGACATGCCCCGAACTGAGATGACATGATCAGATTTAAAAAAAAAAAAATGTTTTTTAGAGGTTTTTGCTATAGGGTGCATGTGCTTGCCAGAAAGACAGAGAGAGACAGAGAGACAGAAAGTGAGAAATCACCCCCCAAGGGGGATAGCCACACTGCAATCCCTTCTCCTCCATTCTCCTCTCAGGATCTTGGGCACACATTCACTCATGCCCGACATGAGTTTAAGCCACCATGTCTGGGACTTGAACTGCAGTCAACTACATGGGAGTCCAACAACATAGCCATTACGCCAACTGCTGGCCCCCAGATTTTGTTTTTAAAGGATTAACCTGGCTCCAATATGAAGAATAAATTGGTAGGAAGAGCAGTGGATTAGGAAAAACATTCAGACAGCTGTTGCAGTTATCCTTGCAAAAGGTAGGGATGGACAAAAGCACAAATGGATGTATAGATGTGCTGATAAAAAACGGAGAGAGGGAACCAGCAGTTAGCGTAATGGCTATGTCGCTGGACTCCCACGTAGTCGACCGTGGTTCGCATCCCGGACCTGGTGGCTTAAAACTCACTCCGGGCGCGTGTGTGTGCGTGCCCAAGATCCCGAGAGGAGAATGGAGGAGAAGGGATTGCAGTGTGACCATCCCCCCTGGGGGGTGATTTCTCGCTTTCTGTCTCTATGTCTCTCTCTGTCTGTCTGGCAAGCGCACGCGCCCTATAGCGAAAAAAATCTCTCCCAAAAAAAAGAAAAAGAAAAAAAAAGAAAACGGAGAGAACTCCTCTCTGACAGAGTAGGAGACAGGGCACCTGCAGAAAGTGAGGGAGAAGGTAATGGGGAAAGGAGGTATGGAGTGTCAGCCAACCCCTGCAGAGGTTGCCAGGCAGTGCTTAGAGACTAGAGTTGCAGTGGCACCAAGCAGAGCAGCGGTGCAATTTGTCACACCTTGGTACGGCCTGAGCAAAGTGGTCAGCTAGCCTCAGCGAGAGTTGAGATTTTGCCAGTCAGGTGCACCAGAAGGATCATGAAACAAAGCGTGAGTGAAGTGAGGAACCCTGGAACCCCAGGTAGGTAGGGAGAGAAGGGAGGACAGGGGACAGCTAATGGAAAGGGAAGAAATGGGAGTCAGCAGGTCAGAGACCTCAGTGAGATCAAAGAAGACGTGTGGGACAGGCCTGCAGTGCAGGCAGGCAGTTATGATCAGGGTGGAGGTCTGACAGTGTCCTTTCAGCAGAGGAGCAGTTTGGGATGCTGAGGGCTAGGCTGCAGCTACAGGAATGAGTGGCAACACTGGAATGGAACGGAGGTCATAGAGGTTAAGAGAGTTAAGGAGGGATCAGCAGGTGGCATGGTGGTTAAGGTGTTGGACACTCCCACATGGTCGACCATGGTTCAAGTCCGTGACCTGGCGGCCTGCTTTCTTGCTTTCCCTCGTTCTCTGGTGTATCTCTGGTTAAACTAAAAATAAATGAGTGAATAAATAAAATTAATTTTTTTTTCTTAAAAAGAGGGTTAAGGAAACGAGGGCAGGGCTGTCTGCACATAATCTTGCCATTCTAAACTGGTGGAAGCATCCAGACACCCATGAGCTAGGCAATGCCTAGCCCCGACCACAGTCCATAAGACTCCAGTCCTCTCCAGCCTAGCACCCTGCCTAGCACCTCGCCAGCTATGGCACAGCTTTTCCCTTTTTTTGTTTCCCCTCCCCAATTTCTACCTACTGGCTAGGCTCCTGTCAAAATGGATGGACACCCATCCTCATTCTCTAAACCACAACCCCCACCAATCTCACTGTGGGTCCTGCAGGTGAGTGGAGGCCTCAGCTGCCTTACCCCGCCACCAGGCTGCATATCACGTCACATAACTTTTGGAGAAATGCTTAACCTTTGTAAGAATTAATTAAAGCTGTGGGCCCTGTCTTTAGAAAAATATGCAAATAGCCAACTTCACATCCAAATATCAAGGGCTCCCAGATCTTTGCCTCTAATGTCAAACGGGTGAAGTATAGTATGCCAAGTTACTTTGGACAACATGATTTGGAGTTCTGGCTGCCACCCGCCTCTCACCCACAGGTTCTGCCTTCGAGCTGGGTGAGTTCCCCTTAATCCAGTATGTAGTTTGATCCTTCCCAGTGACCAAGCCTGTGCAGCGCAAGTCAGCTACCTCTTAGATTCACTGCCTCTTTCCAAAAGAGTTCGCTGGCTCCTGAAAGACAGACAGGCCCCTGCTTTTGGTGTCTCTATATTTCAATCTATCCCTCAGAGCTGACCCCTCCACCTGTCCTCTCCCCAGAGCAGATACCTTCTGTGGAACACGTGAAGAAGGGCTTCAGTGTATCCTGCATGTTCCTCAGCCTCTGCTCCAAGGCTCTCTTCTGCACCTCTTCATTTTGCAAGGCCTCCTTTGTCTTCTCCCTGTCCAACTGGCAGGCCTGTAACTGCCCTGCAGCAGCCTGGTGATCCCCCCGTTCCACCTGTAGTGCTTCCTGACTCCGGGCCAGGTCTCTCCTGGACTCTTGCAGAGACTCTTCCTTCTGCCCCAGCTGAGTTATCTTCGTGTAGAGCTGCTGCCTCAGGCTGCTGTTAGTGGCTTCCAGAACCCTGTTCATCTGCTGAAGCTGCTGAGAGACCTGCAGATCTGTTTGGCCACAGAGAGTTGGAGGGCATCTTCTCCAGCCATGCCCTGGTGCCCTGAGATTGCAGCACCAGCCCTTTTTCTGCTGCTTGGAGCTTTTTGCCTAACAGGGTGAACTATAAGATCTGACTGCCTAGCACTTAAGTAGGTACTGGGTTAGGTAAGGACAATTAGGAAGACAAGATATTTTTTAAAAAGGTTTTTGCCACAGGGTGCATGTGCTATCTGGAGAGAGACAGAGACAAAGGGCAAGAGAGAAATCTCCCCACCCACCCAGGATGGCAATCCCTTCTCCATTCTGTTCTAAGGACTCTGGGCATGCACATGTGCGCCTGGTGTGATCTTCAAGCTGCAAGATCTGGAACCCAAACCACGGTCGTGCAGGAGTCCAGCACGGAAGAAAAGACACTTTAAAACAGAGCTGGCTGGAAACCAGACCCAAAGCTAGGGATGGTGGTGGTAGTGACTATGGTCTCTGCTGTCCTAAACCTGGAGAAGTATCTAGACACCCCATGAGCTTGACAGTGCCTAACTCTGATCACAGTCCACAAGCACTCCAGTCCTCTGGGACCTAGCACCCTGCCTAGAACCTCACTGGCTGTGGAACAGCTTTTTCTCTTTTTTGTGTCCCCCACCCCATCTCTACCTACTCCTACTGACTGGGCTCTACTGGGGAAGGCCAGGGAGGAAGTCATTTGGGATGAATGGGAATAGGGATAGCCATACTCACAGCGCACTCCCAGGCAGATGGCCGCCACCACTAACAGCAGGCAGGCGAAGAGCAGGCCCAACAGGAGGTACTGCAAAAAGGCTGCACAGCCTTAAGGGGACCCAGAGATAAGGGGCCGTCAGTCCCAGGAAAGAATGCATAGACTGGGGCCTGCTTATGTCTGGGTGGTTAAGGTGACTGGTTCCCATATGGCCGACTACAGCGTTAGAGTCCTCAACCTAGCGGCTTGAAAATCACGTTTGCTGGGTGAATGTGTGCGCGTGCCCAAAATCCAGAGAAGAGAATGGAGAACGGATTGCAGTGTGGCCATCTGCCACGGCGTTTCTCTTTCTCTCCCTCTCTCTCTCCAGAGAGTTCACCTGCCCTACAAACTAAAACAAGAAGAGTGTATAGACTGAAGGGAGGGGTGGTGAGGCAGGTGTCTTGGGAAAGCATCTCTAAGGGGAAGGCAGTGTAGCGTTCAGGGGGGCAGGAGGGTGGGTTTTGTCTGGTAGAGGGGTATTTTGCAGGTAAGAGGGAAGGGTGTTCTTTTTTAGAGGGCTGGGATTATTACTGATGAGGACTGAGGGGCATAGGAGGAGGAACTAAGTCTCGGGAAGGGGGGAATTGGGAAGTGAGGGGAGAGGGAACGCGATCTGGGGGGACACTTGAGAATGATCTGTCCCGGGATGGGGGTGCGGCCGGGCGGCTCACCCCGAGAAAGCATGCACTGCCCGGCCCAGCACTACCCCAGCCTAGACCCGCGCAGGCACGACTCCCTTTCCCCCGCCGCGACCACATTCCCCTACGACACCCCGGTCCCAGGGACCCGCACGGGACCCCGACAGCTGGTGGCGAGGGCTCGCGGGGGCGGGGAGGGACAATCCTCCTCACAGGGTAAAATCCGCCTGGCAGCCGGTGACGTCACGGAGTTCCAGGACGCTGTTGGCTGCTCCGACTTGAGCCCTGAGGAAGGGGAACGTCGGGTTCGAAGACGGGAAGCCCCGGGTGTGCCCCTTCTCCCCACTCTACCGCCGCCCCCGCCCCCCCAGCACGGCAAGCGAGACCCAGTCTGCCCTGTGTTGTCCTCTGCGACGACTCCAGGACGCCTTTACCACTCTCCGGAGCCTTGGGACTCTCAGCTGCCTTTTCTCCGGGGAACCCCTCATCTCCCTCCTTTATCGTTCTTTCAGGGGCCCCTTATCTGTGGCCCCAAACCTCCCGCCCCATTACTCCTATCCCTCTGCCATCGTCACTTTTCTTCCATGGCTCCCTGTTGCCCATTAGAACTCATCTCCCACTGGGCTGCCCTGCCCCCACCCCCACCCCAGCCCTTTCCCGGTTGGGATCTTCACCCGCCCCTGGGACCTCCATCCGCCCCTGGGACCTTTCTGCTTCCCCTAGCTCCCACTTATCCTGTTCTCACACATCTCTGTCCTGAGGACTGCCCTCCTCCTTTCCCCAAGGGTATCGTCCTCCCGAGAATTCTGTGGTTTCACCCGCCCAAGACACAGCCCTCCCCCAACGCATCCCCAGGATTCTCCATACCTGCTTTGTCCCCGAGTTCACAGGAAGCCGAGCTCAAGGGCCCCCCTGGGACTGGGGTCACTTGTACGTTCTCATAGGTGAGCTCCCCATCTTCATCAGCCTCTGGGTCTGGAGAGGAGAGGGAAAAGGCCAAGGTGGGAGCCCGGAATGGGGTCTGTGGGAGGAGGGAGTGAGCCTGAAGGAGGCTGGGGGTGCAGGACCAGGAGAGACTTGGGGCACACTTACCCTGGCCTAGCCGGCCGGAGACACTCTTCTTCAGGGGCACCTTGACGAACCGCAGGTCTGCATAGGTGATGGCATCGGCCATGGTTCTGAGTGCCACTGCCCCCACTTGTCCCCCCCTCCTTCATCCACCAGCCCCAAGCCCTGGTCACTCTCCTTTCTGACCCTGATCACTCTCAGACCTGTGTGCTCCCTCCGTGACCACGCAGCTTAGCACTTTGTCCTGTGACTTCCAGTCAGAAAAGAGGAAGATGTGAACAAGTGTCAGACAGATGGGTTCAGTGGAGCAGAAGGGCCCGGGACCCAGGCCAAGGGGCAGGGGAGGGGACACTGAGGTCCAGAGCATCAAGGGTAGGGGCTGGGCCTGTCCCTGTGTCCTGCATGTACTCCCCTTTCATGTGTCCTAGACCCAGTTTGGCAATGCTGGGCTCACAGGCTGTCCTGGTTACCCACCACCCTCCCTCCTGACACCCTGTCCACCGGCTGATCAGTGTGTAGTTGGAGCTCTTTTGTGCCCACTGATCCCAGACGATCCCAGCTCAAGGTGAGGCTCTGTCCTCCCCATCAGACTGGACATTGACCCCAGACGATCCCAGCTCAAGGTGAGGCTCTGTCCTCCCCATCAGACTGAGGACATTCCTAGCATAGAACCCTAGCTCCTTATTTCCTAAGGTTTCCCAAAACAGGGTCCCTGATTTAGTGGCTCCTCGTGTTCCCCATCAGCTTGGGGACTTCCAGGGTACACCCAGCTCACTTCCTGCTTGCCCCCACAGAACAGCTGAGTGAGAATCCTCACATAGGAGCCCTTCCTGGGAATGTAGCAGCTATTCTGGAAGATGCCTAGGCCTTGGGGCCAAATAGTTCTCCTCCACCAGATTCCCCTTTCACAGCCTTCTTCTGGTCCCTTCATTTTATTGGCCTGTTGATCACACCTGTGACCAGCCAGCCTTTTCATCTTCCCATCCTGCTCCTGCCAGCCTCCTGTTCCCCTGCGTCCTACATCTGAGCTGGATCCAGTAAGCAGAGCCCAGGGGGCAGAGGCTCTAGAATAGTCCTCAGCTTGGGACAAAGGTGAGGAACGGCCACACCTGGTGCATCCCATCTCATGCACCCTCGTGGGAGGCCAGTGAGCAGCTGAGCCAGGGAGTTAGCTGCCCAGGGATTAAGAGAGGCTGCCCATTCTTAGAGAAGAGACAAAGACGCAAAGCAGGACCAGATGCTGCATGCGTAGACGCTGGCCCAGCCACGGTTTTGACATTTTCTTAATTTGATTTTGGTTTTCCTCTTACTTTCCTAGTCAAGTTCTTCCTTTAAAAAGTTCCTTGGGGGGGGGGTACCAGCAGTTAGCGTAATGGCTATGTTGCTGGACTCATGTAGTCAACCGTGGTTCAAGCCCTGGACCCAGCAGCTTAAACTCACGCCAGGCACAGGTGCATGCATGCCCAAGAGCCCAAGAGGAGAATGGAGGAGAAGGGATTGCGGCATGGCCATCCCCCCTAGGGGGGATGGCCATGCCGCAATCCCTTCTCCTCCATTCTCCTCTTGGGATCTTGGGCACACATGCATACGTGCCCGGTGTGAGTTTAAGCCATCGAGTCCGGGACTCGAACCGCGGTTGACTACATGGGAGTCCAGTGATATAGCCATTTCACTAACTACTGGTCCTGGGACATTTAAAAAAAATTTTTTTTAAATGTCCCAGGACCAGTAGTTAGTGAAATGGCTATGTCACTGGACTCCCATGTAGTCAACCGCGGTTCGAGTCCGGACTCGATGGCTTAAACTCACACCGGGCACGTATGCATGTGTGCCCAAGATCCCAAGAGGAGAATGGAGGAGAAGGGATTGCTGTGTAGTCATCCCCCCTGGGGGGGGATTTCTCACTTTCTCTCTCTCTGTCTCTCTCTGTCTTTCTGGCAAGTGCATGCACCCTATAGCAAAAACCTCTCCAAAAACAAAAAAAGAAAAAGGTCCCAACATTATGCCTTCACCCCCTAGCTTCAAGGAGAAAGGGGCATTTGTGAGGGAGGATCCAGGGAGTGGTGAGGGCCTGGCTGATGGAGGAGGGAGGTAATCTGAGGGCCGCTGAGCAGTGGGACCCAAAGGTGCTCCCTAGTGCCTTTTTACCAGGCTGTGACCCCTTATAGAAACCCCAAAAGAGCTCATTTCTGGAGTGGGAAGGAGCTGAGACCAAAGTACAGAGTGTGAAAAACTCTTCCCCTGTGGGTGACACCTGCCCCCTCAGAAACCCATCCTGCAGCTGTGGGGAAGAAAAAGGAAGAGGAAAAAGGTCCCCACCACGGGCTAACAGCTCAACTGTTCGGTGGTGTGTGGCGTGTGACAGCGCTGTGACAGACCCAGGGCTTGCCCAGCAGCACCACCAGCCCACCCCAGAGAAAATGGCCACTGAGGCAGACGAGCACATACCCACCTAGAGAAAGTGTCAGGAGGGACAGGCGTATGTGTGCCTGTGCCGTGCGTGTGTGCGTGTGCATGTATGTGCACACGCATCCCCGGGACTTGGCGCTCTGTTAGGAATGTCTGTGCGAGGGGCCGTCTCCACCGAAAGCTGCCTGGAGGATGAAACACGAAGGAGTCTGTGGGCAAAGGGGCCTGTGAGAGCTGCTAACCTTTCCCACCACGGGGAATGACAGGCCAGCTTCAGAAAAGTCATCAAAGGTCACGGCAACAGAGTCAAGTATTTCCTTCTGAAGGTGCGCTGTTTCCTAAGGGCTCCCTGCAACTGTTAACGGTCCCTGCTTGATTGAAGTTTCCAATACCCCAGTAGCCTCCCCTTCTCAGGGCCTCCCCCACATGCAGACGTGGTGTGTGCTGGTGACTCCCTGGGGACCCCGGGAGGGGACCTGTGAGAATGAGTAGGGGCATACAGAGCAGCTGGTGGCAGGGGTGGGTGGGGACAGTCAGGGTACTCGTGCCTATGGCATACAGTGGGTGGGTGTGGGTAGCATGTGAGCAACAGGAACATGCGTGGGAGTTCCATGAACGGTAGATAAGGTTCCAGGAGCCAGTACGCGGGTGGCCCTCATCTGGATGCCAGGTAAAACGCCAGAAGCAAGCTTCTGGTATACACTCAAGAAAGGAATCGTTGGACATACTGCTTAACTAGACCCTTGGAGAGGCTTAGGAAGGAGCTGGGATGGACCGAACGGCACTTCCATGTTGTCTTAGATGTCTTAACAGGCATGTCTCTGTTTCTCTCTAAAACCTTTTAGTAATGGTTACATATCTCTTCCGGACATTCTGCATGCCCTTCCATCTCAGACCATTATAGTCTCCTCGATGAGTAGGGTAAGAGAATGGGTCCTGCCCCTCCACACAGGTGTCCAACAGGTCTTTGCAATATCGACAATCACATTATTTTTGGTGGCTAGACATCAGAAAGGATGCCTGCCCCGGGACCAGCAGTTGGCGTAAGGGCTATGTCACTGGACTCCCGTGTAGTCCACCGCACTTTGAGTCTTGGACCCGATGACTTAAACTCACGCTGTGCGCGTGTGCGTGCATACCCAAGATCTCAAGAGGAGAATGGAGAAGAAGGGATTGTGGGGTGGCCATCTCCTCTGCAGGGTGATTTCTCGCTTTCTGTCTCTCTGTCTCTGTCTTTCTGGCGAGCGCACGCGTCCTATAGCAAAAACCTCTCAGAAAAAGAAAGAAAGAAAAAGAAAAAGAAAGGATGCCTGCCCCTTTACTGCCCCAATGTCAGGAACACTGGGGGCTTTTGAGAGGCCTGTGCTACACATTTCAGCTTTCCAGGATCATCACGTCATCTGAGATCCTAGAGGACAGACACCAAGGCCCACTTCCTACCTCTATTGACCTTTCTCTTGCTTCTTACCGGAAATGGGCTGTTCAGGTAGACAAGAGGAGATCCAGCCATGACAGAGTCCGAAAGGATTTGCTGTGGAGCAAAGGGCTGTCTGTATCAACTTTGGTGAAGTCCAGCCAACATCAGGAAGTCGGGGAGTCTCCTGAGACCCTGAAAGGCAGCTTAGATCAGAATTTGTTACTTTTCCCCACTGGACTTCAGGAGGCCCTAATCTACTGACAAGGTATTGTAGACAGAATAACAACCTCCCAGAAATGGTCAAATCAGAATTGGTAGAATGTGTGAATATGCCACGTTACTTGCAAAAATATAAATGTGATTAAGTTACGGCTTTAGATTGGGAGAGCATCCTGTTTTATCCTAGTAGGCCCAATCTAATCACAAGTCTTTTTTTTTTTTTTTTTTTTTTTTAGTTTAGTTTATTTCTTTCAAGAGAAAGAGAGAGAGAGAGGCAGGTGCAGGCACCCTTTATAATATCTAGTCATGCTGCAGTCCCCTTCACCCAGCCCTCCAGCCAGTCAGGATCCTGGATGCACCTGCCCACCATGTTTCAGTTAGACTTGGGATCCAAACCCACAGCTGGCCATGTGGCTTCCAGCATTACAGAGCAGTATGTTACCACGTGCCACCAAGGCTGGGCTCACAGGAGTTCTTGGAAGGGTAGAACCTTTCCCAGTCATGGGTAAAAAGAGACTTGAAGGATGAAGGGTCAGAGGTATGCAATGTGAGAAGGATTCAACCTGCGGTTGCTGACTTTGGAAGTGGAAGAAGGGGACACGAGCCAAGGAAAGCAGGCACCTGGTAGGAGCTGGAAAAGACAAGGACACGATTCTCCCCTCACACTCCAGAAAGGAGCCCAGCCCTTCTGCCACCTTGATTTTAGTCCAGTGCGACCTGTGTCAGCCTTTAGACAGGCAGAACTGTAAGATAATAAATCAGAATTATTGAAGCCACTAAATTTGTGATAATTAGTTAGAGTGAACATAGATCAGGTTCCTGAACTGTGAAGGAAGTACGGTGTAGTAGGAAGAAAGTGTACTATGGTTAAAGAGGCCAGCCCTGACACAGTGTGTGGCCACAATTTTCCGTCTGTGAAATACAAGACAGTCTAGACATGTCTGACCTCAATCAGGGGTGTGACTGCTGGAGACATCGTAGGTGTAAACTGAAGCACAGGCCTCTTCAAAAGCTTGTCATAATAGCTTCAGAGTCAAGAGGGATATAGGACATCTGAGAGTGCCAGGAAGATTTGCAGCTCTGAAACCAGAGTGCCGATAGGTCTCTCATGACATGCTCAAGCCTCTCCTTGGTCCTATCCTGGATGGTGAC